CAGAGTGTTTCCAAACTGGTCAAAATAATTAAAATCTTCTAGCACTACTACGTGATATCTTTTTGAAAGGTTTTCAAATATTTTATTGAAAGGCTTCCTCCATATCTTTTTTTTAAATAAAGTTTTATTTGGGTTTTCACACACAAAATACAAGCAAAACATCTTTTTTGAAAATAGCATGGTCCCAGGTTGAACTTCTTTATACAGACACAAAACTCAATTTCATGCTCCTTTTTGTGTTCTATTCCATATCTTATATTATTCTATATTTTCTACATGGTTTTTCCCCTCTTTTAATTTTCTCAATTTTATTTTGATTATCTCATCTCAATTCAAATCATTATATTTATATTTTTGTCTGTTCTGTTTCAATTTCATATTATCTTTTCTCATTAAACAGATTTTCTCCTGTAGTTACTAATTGGAGTATGACACCTTTATATCTTTTAATTACATCCATTCAACTCTTATTTAAACTTCAATATATACTTTAAGATTATGACCTTCAATATAATACATAATACATAACTTCCAGTTGAATTCTGCTTGGTACATTCTTATAATACACACTATATTCCTTAAAAAAAAAGACAAAGATTATAAATATATGTAATTATAAACCCTCATTCCATTCCAATTCAATTCTATCAATAATCATTAAAATCTTAACATCTTTAACACTTCTTTTCAATTAAATATCATACTTCCTTAAAGACACCTATAATCTCCATAATTAATTTTTCCCTTATTTCTCTTCACATGTTTTGTAAATCATTAAATATTCATTTTGTTACATTTATTTAATGACAAGCATTCCAATGAATTACGATAGCTATTTTATCAAACATTTTAATCATACATTGTTTCATATTTTCTAAAATTATTTCTGTTTCTAATATAACAATACTATCTTATGTACCTTTGCAGAATCCCTTTTTCCATTAAATTTTCACCCATTATCTCTAAATAGGCCCTGTTTCTCTATATTTTGTTTCTGTCCTTTATAACTTCATTTCCTTTCCTTCTTCCCCCTCTTCTTCTCCCTCCCCTTTTTACCCCCTTGTCTCTCTACATCTAATTCTCTCTTCTGCATTTCCCTCTTCTGTTGCTTTCTGATTTTATACTTATTTTTCACTCTATTTTGGGGGGGAGTTGTTTTTCCCAATCTTAAACTTTCCATTCTCTTTCCCCCCCTTTCCTTTTTTTCCCCCACCTAAGATTACTTGTTCATTAAAGATGGCTTCTTCTTTGTCACAATCTTCTTGTTCTGCGGGCATTTCTTGTTGTTTCTCATAATTCCAAATCTCCATTTCTAAAAACTGAAATACGAAGCCAAAAGAGCCTCTCCCTTCTTGTGCATCTTTGTACTTTTTAAGTACATTTTCAGTTCTTCTAAAAGTGGAGCCATTTTAAAAAGTTTTAAACAACCACCCGATTGATTTTAGTCATTCAAAACAATAACCAGAAATCCAGAAATCATCAAGTAATCCAAATAGTCCCGAGTTATATCTTCTTATTTCTTTTTCCACTTTCTCTTCCTGGGGTTTTTGTTGCGATATTTCAATTAGAATGTATCTTTTGGAAGTCTTGTTGAGATTTTGCTATAAGTTCTTTTTAATTCCAGGCAGTCTCCTCCCTTCCAGATCCTGCCCTTTTATTCTTTTTCTCTCCTTTCCTATTTTCAAAAACTTTTGGTTATCCAGAAATCTTTATTATCCCTTTGACTTTTTATTTTCAGCATTAAATGCCTATTAATGTCAAAGTGGATTTCCCCCCCAATTTCTTGCTTAAGTCTCTTAGCTGTCAGTATAGGAAAAGAAGAAAAAAAAAACCCGAATCTTTTCCCTTTTCTCTCTCCTTCGCAGCTTAAAAATCTTCTTAGAGAACAATGTTATTGTTTTTTTAAAAAATAGTTTCAATTCCAGGGTACCTTATTTGTTGCTTTTGCTGTTTGACCCGGTCAACCAAAACTTTCTCTTCTTATCTTCCTTCTGCACATTCTTTTCCGGTCGAGTTCTTCTTTGTGGTGGCCATTTCTGACCACCGCTACAACCGCCTTCGGGAAAGGGAGTAATGGCCAGCTGGAAAGGAGAGATGTGGCTCTCCTCAACCCTGCAGGCAGTCTCCCCCTTCTTCACCACCTCTACGGGATGGCTTAGCCCCGAAACCAGCCAGCTCGGGGCACTCCAGCGGCGAGCACGGATCAAAGCCTCGCAGAGATGAGGTTTCGGTCTGTCACCGAAGAAGCTCATACCGGAAGTCCCCAAAGGCTTCCTCCATATCTTATCCTTAACAGGGCATACGGTTTCAATAGCAATTGCTTGATTAATTTCCTACTTATTTTAATCTAGATACTCTGTCCAGTGCTGACATATTTGGATGTTTAAGCAGGACAAGTGAAGGGTTTATTTTTTATTATTTCTGTTCCTTTTGAAACAAATAGTGCCCTTTAATTGTATTTGAATTGTGGGCTCTTCCCTCTAGGATTAGTCGATGACAACTCTGCTTTAATTTCAAAACTATATTATTATATCAGTATGCTTTTGTTCCTTTATGGTTGAGTAAGCCAACACTGAGGAATGTACTGGTTACCAAGAAATAGTGGTTCTTGCTCATATTTAGAAGCTTTCATTCCTACGCTGAGCTTGGTAGGGCTTTCCCAACTGAGCAAGGCCTTGGATTCAAGTTATGTTCAAAGAAGAACTCAAGAGAAATGCTATTGATGGATTTGTAAAAATTCATGTGGATTTGTAAAAAACTATAAGCAAGATATATGGACAATGATCACCTACTGTTGTCAATTGCAACAGCTGATATTCAAGCTATAGTTCCTTTTAATTTACTTGAATCTCATTAGGTGATTTTAGTTATATTAAGAAAGAGGGACAGCAATATCTATTTATACTATATGCTGTAGTATTTATGTTTATACCACATGAAAGTAAGAACAATTAATCAATAGAACAGCTTGCCTCCCAGAGTTGTGGGTGCTCCATCACTGGATGTCTTCAAGAAAAGCCTGGAGAGCCACTTGTCTAGCATGCAATACATTATCCTGTCTAGGGCTTGGGGATGGACTAGAACAGGGGTCGCCAACCTTTTGAACCTCAGGGACCACCAAACTCATACTTTTAAATCCCGAGTACCACTAATATGAATTTTTCTCTTTGGGGGGCAGCACCCCTCGGCCACCCCTCCAGGGGCTTCTCAGCAGGTAGGTTCCTGCAGAAGGACAGCCGACCTTGGTGATTAATTGGGGGGAGGGGGAGAAAGTGGGAGCTCCAGGACGGGGATGCCAGGGCTCTTCCAGCCTTACCTGGAAGCAGGCAAGGAAAGGGGGGGAGGTGGACACCTTCACCCCCCCAGAGGAGAATTGCTTTCCTCCATCAGCCCTCCATCTGCCACTTCTGCTGTTCCTCACCTCTCCTGCCCTGAGAGGGTAGCCGGGCACCCTCCCTGCCCGATGGCTGCACCCTCAGCGGGAGAGAAACCCCGGAGCCCGGCAGTGGCCGATCTGCTTCTCCAAAGTGCCGCTTCCCTGCCGCCTGCCTCACAGAGCGAGGGATGAGAGAGGTCCCCCTCCAGCCAAGCTATTGGGCGCTCCTTGAGAGAGATGAGAGAAGTAGCCGGAGTCACTCTCGTCTCTCGAGAGCCCGGCCGGTTTCTCACACCGCTTCAGCTACAGAGACAACAGTTTTCAGGGGGCCGATTTAACATATGCAGAGCTAGGGTTGACTCTGGCTGCTTCTCTCTGCTGCACTACAGACATGGCACGACACGAGGGGCTGCCTTGGCGCCACCAGCTGCCATAAATATACCACGGCGAAGGGAGATGCAAATGTGAATACTGCTTCTTCCAGCCACAACCGCCTCCGCCTGCCCCCCCCCCCCCCCACAATAGTACCATTACCACATTCCAAGCACCATGGGCCAGTCCCATATTTCAGAGCTGTAGTCATCCCAATGGAGGAACTACTCCGGGATGGCCAAACAGCCAGTCCTGTGACTACTACAGCTCTGGAATATGGGACCAACTTTCCCACCAACTTTAGCAAGTCACCCCAGGGTGGATTTCCCTCCCCCGCCATTGGTCTTACCTTCCACTTGCAGCTCACGTGACTCTCTACTCAGTCTCAAGGTTTGCGCTTGGCTGAAGGGTGTGGGTCAGTGGGTGGGTGGGTCATGTGGGCAGAGCAGCCTTGTTTTCCCACATGGCCCGGATTAATTGCTTTCGGGGGCTATTTCTCTGCTATTTCTCTGCGGACCACCAAAATTTTGTCACGGACCACCAGTGGGCTGCAGCCCACCGGTTGGCGACCACTGGACTAGAAGACCCCCAAAATCCCTTCCAGTCCTATTATTTTATGATTCTATATATTGATATATGCATGCACATATTCAATTTATATGACCGCACACATTTCAAACAGGTGTTTCTGGAGGAGCTAACAATTTTTAAAAAGCAAAACAAAACAAAACGTGCAAAATAAATAGACAGGTGGAAACTGAAATAAGAATAACAGCCATAGATGCAAATATAACACCAAAAACTAAAAAACCCCACCAACCTAATGCACAGAGTCCAGCACACATTGTTTTGTATATTATGGATTTAATTCATTTTTCCATTGGCTGCATTCTAAACAATCTTGAATCTAGTAGCAAAAATCCCCAGAAATTTGGATTCAGTTTAAATAAATACAAAATTCTATCAGTGGGACAACATTGGGCCCCAGTGCGGTTATTTGCTGACTACAATGAGTTGTCTTGCGAATCTAAATATTACAGTGAGTGGTAGAATGGATCAATATGCCTCTATTGCAATTGCTTTGTATTATCATTTCTACATTGCTGCTATTGAATGTCTCTTCTCTGACCTTGAATGACCAGCCTGATTCTGGATTGCCATTTCATTTTGCTTCTCTCTGAGTCTGACAGACTGCCCAGATGATTGTTTAACGTTTGCTAGACTTTAATATATCTTTCCTTAAATTTTGCAGGCTGAAGGATCTCTTCTATCGCTCCAGCAACCTGCAATATTTCAAAAGGCTGATTCAGATCCCACAGCTGCCTGAGGTGAGGATCCATGACTTTCTGTGAACGTCATCCATAGAATTGCTATTCTCACTTTTGTTCATAGTATTTATGCTGAGGCTGCTTCAGCTAAAGGAAACTGTATGTCATAACCAGTGGTGGGATTCAAAAGTTCCCACCACCGATTCTGTGGGCGTGGCTTGGTGGGCGTGGCTACAGGGGTGGGATTGCATGATTCGCACATGTGCGCACCAAAACTGCGGTTTGTGCACTCATTAAAACAGTAAAAACTAAGCTACTACGCCTCTCAGCTGTTCAGCAGAGCAATCCGCTCTGCCGCGACAAACAGCTGAGAGTTGAAAAGGACCTAGGAGCAAGGGCTGGCGGGTAGGCCCCACTTCAGAGACTTGAAGAGACTTGGAGGTTCTCTGCTAGCTGATCTTCATTGCTAGCGCTACGTCAGAACTGGGCCGAACCAGTAGAATACCATCACTGGTCATACTGAACTATGACATTTGGCTATATAAATAACAGAATAAAAGGGACCTTGGAGGTTTTCTAGTCCAATCCCTTGCTCGAGCAGGAGACCCTATATCATTCTAGACAAATGGCTGTCTATTTTCTTCTTATAAACTTCCAGTAACCGAGTTCCCATAATTGCCAAAAGCAAGCCATTCCACTGGTTAATTGTTCTCACTGTCAGGAAATTTCTCCTTAATTCAAGGAGTTCTTAGTTTTCCTTTTGGTCCCTCCTGTGGATAAAGTTGCAGTAGAATTTAAATGCAAATGAGGTTCTTTTCTAGATATAATTTGTAACCCACAGATGTATTAAAAATGATAGATGAATAAAAGATGAAGAGTAAAATCTCACCTGAAAAGAAATAAATAGTATCAACTGAGAGTAAAAAATGAAACACTAGCTTGTATTTAGTGTAAAAGATTATAGAAAATTAGTAATTTTGTAATAATACTGAAGAGGTTCTTTCCTGTTGCAGTCTTTATAGTTTGAAGATAAATAGAGTCTGTAGTATCTTATTGCAGTTTGGTGCACAGTTTTACAATCCTCGTAAATCAGTTTATAATCTCATAAATATGCAGTCTTGCTTTGTGGTTAGTGTAAACAGCCTTTCTTTGTAATAACCAGAGAGTCTATAATTTAAGCAGAGCCTTGTAGTGTAAACAAAGTTTTGAATAAATTAACTGTTACGGTTAATGAATTAAGAGGCAAATCTGAATTAGATGAATTAGAGGCAAATCTGTTTGCAAAGGTGTTCTTTTTTCCTCCAACCACAAATAGTTTTGGAATGCCAAAATGGGCAATGAGCAATGATCTTGGGCACTACAGTATTGACTTCGTATATGCGATAAGCTGCTTCAGGGCAACAGTTCTGTATCGTTCTTTGTTCCATGCACTAGAATCCCCCCAACTTTCTGCGGGCCTCAGCACTCTCTGAACACATCAGCCCTGTTGTTGTCATCCCATTGGAAGCTTCATCCCCAGACAGTGAACCCATCATGGATCTCGTTGAAATGGAAACTTCCTCACAGAAGGTGAGCGGAAGGGCAGAGCTTCTTTGAAGAACAGAAAGTGGAAGCCTATCCCAAGAAAAATGTGTTTGTTCTGGTTTGTGATGATGTGAAATGGTACTTCCGTTTAGCAAACTTCGTCACTATTCAGCGTTTGCCTGTCTTGTTGTGACAGAGATTTTCAAGAGTTGGAAAATCAGTGCTAAGATATATATTTTTTCTAGGCTTTTCTGCTTTGCGTTATAGATGGAGAGCTGTTTTCTATGAAATAGAAAGATCTGATTACTCTCTGTCTCAAAAAAAAAAAGTGGGGGAGTGAAGCAAGAATGGAGAAATCAAGTGGATTTGAATGGTTTTCCTGGTGACAAAATAATGAGGAGATTATCTTCCATGTCGCTGATTTAGAAACAATGCCTGCTCTCCACTATCTGTAAATTGAGCTCCTACATATGCTTCAGTATCAATAATTGTTGTTCCCATCCTCTCTTTCTGATTAGTCACTCTACTGAAAATTCCCTGAGATTTAAGTCAAGTCCCTCTTTCCTTGAGTTGGGAGGGCGTGCAAGGCAAGTTTATCTTTTCATGAAGCTAACTGCTTCCATCTTATCTTCCAGAGTCTCTTTGACAATAAGTTTGATGACATCTTTGGCAGTTCTTTCAGCAATGATCCCTTTAACTTTAACAGCCAGAATGGGATGACCAAGGATGACAAGTGAGTAATTATTCATTTCTTACTATGCCCTTTATTAATTTAGAATGAAACTTGACTTCCGTTATTGCTGAACAGATGCTTTTTTCATGTACAGAGTGCAATGAAAACACAAAAAGTAGCTTACCAGGAAGCGTCTTCATAATCTCTGCTTTATTTATGGGATAGTGACAATTGCAAGTCCTCTTTTTGGGATGGGAGTAGAGTAATTTCTAGATATAAGTACACAAATAAGTACCTTGTTCCTCTGTACAGCATGCAAAAGTGGGATATGTTTCTATAATACAAGCTAGTAACAGAAATGGTTTCATTTTTGGGTTTATGTTTTTCTTGCTTCAGAATGTGGATTTTTTTTCTTCTGCACAGTATTCCTGGCACTAGCCATGCTCTAAATCCCCCACACAAATAGCATTGTGGCAGAAATAATAGCATGACAGCCAAGCATCTGTAAACATTATTGCCTGTGACAGAGGATTTAATGTGTTTACTTTAAGCATCAAGAACCCCTTCTTAAGATATATTAATTTGGCTTCTTTCTTCATCTGCATGTGGTTATGAGATCTGACTTTGCTTTCCTCCCATCCAGTTTAAAAATATTTATATCCAAATTGCAGAAGTGTTTTTCCCTCCTTTCAGGGACAGGTTAATTGAACAGCTGCACAGAGAAATGGACACCCTTAAGGATGAGCTCAAGAATTTCAAAGCTGAGGTAAATTTAAACAGAGATATTTTTCTTAGCCCAAATACAGAAACTCACATTTGCTTTGGACGCTAGTCAGGAGATAAAAGTATGTAGGAAAACCAGAAAAATACAAAATCCTAGGAGATACAGAAAAGAGGGATCTGCTATCCTTTGCTTTAATATCCAGAAAGAAGTCATAAAGCATTCCAGAAATGCAAAATGCTACTTAAACTAGAACTGAAGATAGGCTTTCATTTTTGCTGTCATAATAGCAATCTGAGGCAAGGGCCAGATATTTCCTTTTAGCCTCCTCTGCTCTGAATTACATTAGATCAGGATGAATTGATCCATAGATATGCAGGTTAAGAATATGTTTTTTTGCATTAGTTATCAGTAAATATCACGTAAAGCACCATTGATAGCCCGCATGTAGGCAGCTAGGATGTTGAGACTTCCCTCACAGACCATTGTTCCAAAGCAGTAACCAGAAACATTGATGGCGTTTACCTTTTTCTGTTTGTTTATGCCGTCTACCTTTCTGCAATAAAGTTTTGGAGTGACACTTTTTTAAACCTAATGGTGGCAAAGTCCCAAAGTCAAGGATCAAGCTTCATCTTGACACGCAGTTCTTGATTTATTTGTTGTGGTGTGTGCTTAAACTGTTCACAGCCAGAATAATGTAATTGCTTCAGTACCATGAGGTTTCCCAGTGATCTTTCAGATTCACCTTCTGTTTAAACGTGGTACCTGCAGAGTCACCGCCTGGTGATGCAGCTGAAGGGCCGTATCAGTGAGCTGGAAGCTGAGCTGGAAGAGCAGAAGCACCTAAAGCAGCAGGCACTAGATGAGAGTGACTTCTTGCGCACAGAACTGGATGAATGGAGAAAGAGGCATGAGGATACAGAGAAAGCCCAGCGAAGCCTGACAGAGATTGAGAGTAAGCAGTGAAAAGAATTTGACAACTGGGCCTTTTGTTCACCAGAGATAAAAAGACTGCAGTTTAGACGTCATTCACATATGTGGCCCATTCACCTGAATAGTCATTTTACTAGAAAGCAATTAAAATTAATTTCCTATAGAAGTCACACAGACCATGATAACAAACTAATAGATGCATATTTTGGCCCTAATTTTTAAGGAACATTTCAGAATGTACTAGAGTAGGCAAATAATCTGTCAGCCTCCTTAACAAATACTGTAATAAACTGATTCACTATGGCTGCCTGGCCTCAGTTTATAGAAGCAGGGCTTATATTTGGATTGAAAATGCCATAATAACCATCCCAGAGAAGAGTTTAATCAGTCCCCAGTGAGCTTTCTTTGGGCTCTCAAAATGTGGCATTGAAACTGTTCTGAAGCCAGGCTTCAGTTTTAGAATTGATCTTCCAGTTTAGAATTGTAGTATGTGAGACAGGAGGATTATTCAGATATTCCTTTGGCAAAGGGTCTGCCTTGTGAAGTGGAAAAAGGACCAGTCCTCCCTAGTTTTGGGCTGAAGTGAGAGCTGCACTGGAGGGAGATCATTGGCTCAGCCTGTTTTATGATGTGATCCTCCCGCCCTCCTTCTCTGTCACAGGCCAGGTCCTATCTGTTTCTGTTATAGGGAAAGCACAAACCACAGAGCAGCGCTATGTGAAGCTAAAGGAAAAGTACAGTGAACTGGTGCAGAATCACGCAGACCTCCTGCGCAAGGTAATGCTGTCTTAGTTCCCTCCATTGTTCAATACTAAGAGAAAACTAGGGGTCATTTTGCCTGGCTCTACACGTTGAAATAGGATTATTCACTGATTGCAAAGCAAAAAGCCTGTGAAATGAGTTAAGGTTAAACCCCTATTAACAGTTGACATATTGGCAGAAGAGATTTGAGACTGTCTGGGTCAGCTGTGTGCTTCTTTGCCATCCTCTGTAGAAATATAATACTAAATAATATATTTTTCATTCACTTGGACAACCAGATAGCTTTAGTTAAATATATTCAGGATAGTCTAAAAAAGTAACAGTCAGGCAAAGATGGAAAGAGGGAGGAATGTATTTTTGAACTAGGCTAAGTAAAATTATTTGCTGTGCCTGATATTTGGGAGAGATCTGCAAAATGTTCCAAGTATTAATCAGAAATTAAAAGGACTCAAGAAAAAGCTCTGTTGAATACTAGGCTTCTACAGGAATCTTCAGTATAGCACAGGTGCTCCAGCCAGAAGAGTTGCTCGAATTCCCAAAAAAACTTTTGCAAGGTGAGGAGGCAAGGAGAAATTTGTTTGTTTTCTGCCTCTATTATTTTTATAAATAACTCAAGCAATGGACATACATACATCCTTTCTCCTCCTATTTTTCTCATAATCCTGTGAGGTGGGTTGAATTAAGAGAGAATTATGGGGTCAAAGTCATCCAGCTGCCTATAACCAATGGTCTCCCAGTTTCTAACCTGATGCCTTAACTACTATGGTAGACCAAACTGGACACTCCCTCAGAGTGCTCCTTAAGGTAGGAGGACTCTACTTTATTAAGGACAATGATAGCCAGCGGCTAAAACCTCCCTTTCTTTCTTTCCTTGCCTTCCTGTTCGGTCCTTTAGAATGCTGAAGTCACCAAGCAGATGACTATGGCAAGACAGGTCCAAAGTGACACAGAGCGTGACAAGAAAGAGCTTGAGGACTCCTTTCAGCGGCTGAGTGAGCAAGCCCAGCGAAAGGTGAGATGTCAAGAGAAGTAGAAGGAGCATCATTTTTATTGGAAGAGAAATGGAATTCAGGATGACAGTGGTAGGGATATCAGAAAATGGTAGAGGGAGCTGTTTGGGAAGAGCGCATAATCCTTTTTTGATGCTCCTATCATTTTCTCTGTAGACACAGGAACAGGCAGAGATCTTGGAAACATTGAAGAGAGAGCTAATTGCCAGCAAACAGGAGCTTCAATGTCTCCAGAGCACTGTTGATTCCACTGCACAGGTGGGTCTTTCCTTACCCTTCTGTGATAAGTATAACCATAAAAGAGCAGGACCCCAGCAACCATTCGAAGAGTAGAAATGAGCAGAAAGAAAAAACAGAGGCATGTGGAATAAAATAGGAAATTATAGATGACTCAGATGGAGAGAGAGGACCAAACGCCAGGGCATCCCTGGAGATAAATAGGGTTATGACTGCCATTTTGTACGCTTTCTTTGGAACTGGTATACTCAAAGGGAAAAGAAGATTCCACTTCTCCTCCACTCTTCTCCCTTGCCTCTCTAGTTTGAAGCAGAGCACACCACTCATCTGGCTGCCCTGAAGCAAGAGAAAGACGTTCTCACAGAGACCATGGCTCAGCGTGATCAGCAGATGACAGCTTTGGAAGCTGAAGGGCAGCAGTTAAAGGCTGCACTTGAAAAGGAAAAGGAATACAGCAGTAAGACAATCCAGGAATTGCAGAACCGCTTGGGGGAAATAGTAAGTTGGCTGAGATTATAAGGATAGTATGTTACTGAGAGATTCCAGAACCAGCTTTCCTTAAAACCATGGAAGATCTAAAACAGGGGTGTCCAACCTTGGCAACTTTAAGACTTGTGGACTTCAACTCCCAGAATTCTGGGAGTTGAAGTCCACAAGTCTTAAAGTTGTCAAGGTTGGACACCCCTGATCTAAAATGTTCTCAGCCTCTTCTCAGTTGGGATTTTAGTTTCTTTCCAGACCCAGGAGAGAAGATGATCAAGGACATTGATTTATTTATTCCAATGTCGTCTTCAACATTCTATCCTTTTAGTGATTTTTCTGACTACCATATTTTCGGAGTATAAGACACACTTTCCCCCCCCCAAAAGTGGATGGAAATGTCTGTGTGTCTTATACAGCGAATGTTGCCAAAGCACCGCTCACCTGCCAGCCCCATCCATCGGCCTCTGCCTTCCAGCAATTTGCCTCCTTGCAGCAAACAGCAAAGAGCATGGTCAGCTTCAACACAACCTGATTAGCACAAGCAGCTGATTGTTGGTAGGATCGGCCTGCAACAATCAGCTGTTTCAGGCTGCAGGGATTGCCATCGCCTACTGTTGTCTCTGCGTGGCCCATTATCAGCCTCCGCATCCCATTTTCAGCCTCTGTGCACCCCATTTTTGGCCTCCACGCACCCCATTTTCCCCGTTTCAATCCCCGCCGCCTAGAACGGGGAGAAAATGGGGCACACGGAGGCTGAAATGAGATGCGGAGGCCGAAAATGGGGCGTGTGGAGGCAGCAATGGGTGATGGCAATCCCTGCAGCCTGAAACAGCTGGTTGTTGGGAGGCTGATCCTTCTGACAATCAGCTGCTTGTATTAATCAGGCAGTTCTGAAGCTGACCAGGCTGTTTGCTGTTTGCTACAAGGAGACAAATTTCTGGGAGACAAGAGGCAGGGCTTTTTCCCCCCACTGTTTTCCTCCCCAAAATCTGAGTGTGTCTTATACTTCAGAGCATATTATACTCTGAAAAATATGGTAATTGAGTCTTAGTCTTGAAATGCACCAATATGCAATTGTATAATTTTATCTCTTCTATGAGCCTCACCAATCACAATCCATTTAATTTGCAAAGTTATCCCAACAGAAGATATCACGTGGTCCCCTGAAACTTTGCATCACTGTGTCTCTTCCTTTGCTCTTAGGAAGGCAACACACAGGCTCTTCAGCAGGAGCTTCTGGACAAACAGTTTGTGCTCCTTCAGTGTGCCGTGAAAGAGGCTGAACAAATGGTACAGGATGCTCTCAATCAACTCGAAGACCCCACTCATATCCGTAGTACAAGTTCTGCAGGTTAGCAGGCAGGGTTAAAATGACATGTAGAGCCAGTTGCTGTTTCCTTCATTACTAAAATATCTAATTTTTAATTTAAAAATGGACATAGTTGTGTATATCACATCAAATTGTGCTTCAAGTTGTACTTCTTAAAAGAGCTTATGTAATGTATAGTTTTGTTTTGCATAGATTACCTTTTATCAAGGACCCGTGCAGCTTCTGAATGCGTGGAGCGGCTACAGGAAGCACGTGGCCAATACCTTTCTGACCAATCAGGTGAGGCATTCATAACTACACCAGTTGAATATCAAGCATGCGGATAGAAAACCCTGGCAACATACACAATTAATGCATTCCTGAATTTCTGGACTCTTTTTGTCTATAACATTTTGAAAATGGAAAAAAGCATACGTCACTGTGTCTTTCATGTGGCATTAAAAACCTTGGTGAGCCTAAGCGGACTTCATGTGTTTCACCCTTGTCCATTTTGGTTCAGAAAGTTTAGGATTTTGTTAACATTCCCTTAATTTGTGTGCTCTCTTTTTTGCATCTAGATGTGAGCAGTTTGTTATCATGTGTGCCTCTTTTTGCTCACCTGATTGGTGATGCCATTCTGCAGGCTAGTGCCACATCACACATGGCTCCCATGGAATCTGCTGATTGTGAGTATTCATGGCGGAGAGCCTGGTTATTTAAAGGGCCATCTGTCTTCCATTGTTTCTTCCAGGCCTGTAAAACTGGGTAGAATTGGCATTCTTCAGGTTTTTTCATTAAGCAGTATTGCCTGATAGAACCTGCAAAACATGCCTTCTCTGTCACAGTACCTACCTTCTGGAACATCTCTTTTGAGAAACATTTGGCCCTCACCCTGGCCATGTTCAAAAGAACTCTGAAAACATGGCTTCTTTCTCTTGAGTGTTGAGTCCTGTGTGTTCTATTGTTTTTGAATGGTTGTTCTTCCCGATGTTGTGTTTTAAATTGTATATCAGAAATGATTTACAGTATGCTAGCCAGAGATGTTATAGACTGGGGAGATAAACACATACTTGCTGATTGCATGCTTATATGCGTACATGCACATACACACATATCCATATCTATGTATATCAGGGAGAGAGAGATAAGAATCTTCTAGGTCATACCAGTGAGAATGATCCTTTCTTTTCATGCTTACAGTGCTATTGGAGACCAGCAAGCAATGTGGGAATGAGACCTTGCACTACTTGGGAATGCTGAAAGATAAAGCTACTTTGGAAAGTGCTGATTGCGCTGCTGTCAGGAATTGTCTCAACCAGATCACTTCAATTGGACAGGTGGGATACCCCATGGCATAAGAAAGAATGAGAAGCAGGATTCCTTGTCTGATTCATGGGCAGCTATCCTGATCAGTGAGCTTACCATATTATCCACTGAAGAGAAATCTCTCTTTGGGGAGTTTTGAGCTCCTCTTTTGCTACAGAGGAAGATTCATTCATGTGAAGACAGGAGGAGCAGGAGAAAATGCGGATCACTTTGTGCATTATCTTTCAATCTGCAGGATCTGCGGCCGAAAGGCCTGGATGTTGAGGAAGAGAAACTGGGGGATCTGGTTGATGAAGAGATGGCAGCAACGGCGGCAGCCGTTGAGATAGCTGCTGCCAGGATTGAGGTGAGATGCAGAAATGTTAGAAAGAGAGTTTTCAGATTGACATATTAAAACTTATTTGCAGTTCCATGTCCTGGAAGAATGGGTGCTAGGGTTAGGGTTTAAGTGGAAATGGTTTTCTATTGCTTTTTGTGATATTGGGTGTGTTAATCTGAACTCTGATCCACCCCACCTCTTTGTTAAAACAGGAGATGCTGAACAAATCACGAGCAAGGGACAGAGGAGTCAAGTTTGAGGTCAACGAGAGGTTGGTATTAAAGGCTGGCACTGATGTCTTCAGATACCAGGTACCTCCTGCAGCTTATAAAGAAGCTTGAACCTGGTGAATTTAAATGTTGGGAAAATTATGGGGGAGAGGGAGAATGGCAACATCTGCCATGCATTTCCCCCCACATGGCATCGACAGTGTTTGAAAACTGGGCTGAATTGCTTTGTCCATTTAGCATTGCTTATTTCTGCGCTTGTATAGTGGATTGCAGACCCACATGTGCAACCTCCTTCTTACATTAGCATTGGGACACCAAGGAAAAGACAAACAAATGACAGCTGTGTGTGTGTGTCTCCTTCTCCACACTCTAGCAGTTTTGAATCTCTATCAGAATGGAAGAGAAGGACTAGTACAGACTTCCCATAGGTTAAATCAGATACTTTTTTAAAACATCACTAGCTCATTTCCTATTCACACATACACAGCTTTACCAATTGCATTTTTAGGATACAAAGTTCTAGAAGGGAAAGATGCTGTCACTCTAGTTGAAGTATCGAAACTGTGTTAATTGCATTACTAAAGTGATTAAGCTCTGCACAAAAACATCAGAAAAATGCTTTTGGGGATCCCTCAATGGGATTACTCTGTTTGAACTGAAGTCTGTCTTTTGCCACCATTGGTTTTGTATCTTGCAGGATTTTGGGGTCCTGCACAGACTTAATGCAGGCCATTCAACTTTTGGTGTTGGCTTCCAAGGACCTCCAACAAGAGATTGTGGAGAGTGGAAGGGTGAGTCTGTACCAGTCTTATAACAGGATAACTTTCACTTCCCACCTGCTGTATTCTATTGTCACCACAACATATTTGTATGAAAAAATATACCAGCAATTATGGTAGCGCTGATTAAAGGTAAGACAGGCAAACATACTAATTCTCGCTGAATGACAGAGCTAATGAAGACTCCTGCTGTTCGTTCATTTATTGAATCATGTAGTAAGATTGGGTGGCAGATTTAAGTATTTATTAATATTTTAATTTATAATAGATTTCTATCCCATCTGTATTTGGCCAACACGAGGTGGCATACATACCAAATACTTCTATTTTCCCCAGAACATCATCCCTATGAGGTGGGTGGGGCTGAGAGAAAGTGACTGGCCCAAAGTACTTGTCTAAGGGAGGACCAGCTCCTTAGGCACTAAACAGGTTGCCTCTCAATATTTCACTTATAACACCTAGATGTAATTCCTTTTCTTCTGCAGGGAGCAGCATCCCCCAAAGAATTCTATGCCAGAAATTCCCGTTGGACAGAGGGCCTGATTTCTGCTTCCAAGGCTGTAGGCTGGGGAGCAACGGTGATGGTGTAAGTTTCTGCAGCATGGCCACAGCCAATTGTGGAATTATCACATTGCTGTTCACGTTATGTACAAACACCTGTGCAACGTTGCTTGAGTCATGGCTAGAAGAGCGGAACAAAAGGATTAACTGTTCATTTGTATTTGTCTCCATAGAGATGCTGCTGACCTTGTAGTTCAAGGGAATGGGAAATTTGAAGAACTCATGGTTTGTTCGCATGAAATTGCAGCAAGCACAGCTCAGCTTGTTGCTGCTTCAAAGGTAGGCTTTATCACAGAGATAACCCTTGAAATTTGGTGCTGGAGGGTATAATTAATGACTATTCATAGTAATTGAGTTTTTGATAGGTGAAGGAATCATTTCTTGAACATCAAAGGACTTTTAGTCTGGGAGCAAGCTATTCTTTTCTTTTTTTTTAATCTTTTGTCAGAAACAAATTGAAGAAATTTGGTTCTGGTGGTTTCTTGGCTTATGGTTTTATAACTCCATGCCAGTCTGTGGAAGGATTCCCTGCTATTACCTTTTTCTTCCCTTACTAGGCATTCTCTGGTTATGTAGACCAACCTCCAGAACTTCCATTAATGGTTATAATGACTGAGACATTCTGGGAGTGGAAATCCACATGTTCTGGATGGTGCCAAAATTGAAGAAGATCGTTGAATAAAAATTGTATTAGAGTTTTCTGGAGACACAATTTAGATATCTTGAAAACATGGAATTGGAGATAGATGAAAAATGAGAAAAATTGGGATGGACAAAAGCATTTTTGGCCATTTTGTTTTAGATAATGGTTTTGCCATAATATCACCCCATATGCTTGTGATTAGTTATTGAATATTATTTTCAGTACCTCCTTGTCTCACATCTTTATCTACAAGAGCTTTCTTCTTCTTTGAATAGGTTTTGAAGTTTCTGCAAAGGCACATATTGTGTAGTGTCTATTTTTTTTTTATCCCATTTGTGCCATATAAATTGTTTTTTTCTCACCTGGAAAGAATTATCCGAACCTCCCATTTGACTTCACAGGTAAAAGCAGACAAAGACAGTGTAAATCTCAGCAAGCTTCAGATTGCCTCTCGAGGAGTCAATCAGGCAACAGCCAAAGTCGTGGCTTCCACTAAGTCAGGAAAATCACAAATACAGGAGAAAGGTAATGTTCTTCACTGCACAAGTGGATGACAAAAGTCCCTTTCTTTTCTTGAGAAGTAATTTTATAAGGGTGAGTGGTAAAAGATCTCTGGCTCTCTCTAAATATAATTACTTTTCAAATTCATCCAGTGGCTTATGGTCCATTGGCGCAATTATGCTTGCCAGCTATGTGGCAAGAAATCTCAGCCAATTGAGGGAAGGGCTGGGGAATGGCACCTTTTAATGAGAATAATAGTGAGATATTCCCCTACAGATAGCATGGACTTCTCTGACATGACACTAACACAGATCAAACGCCAAGAAATGGACTCTCAGGTAAAGTGAGCAAGTAACAGAAAAGGCAGAATACTTGGCCAATTGGAGAAGAGACAAGATGACAGTATAGGAAGGGGTCCAAAAAGGGGCTGGTGCTATGGAAAATAATATCTTTCCTGCTAGGTTCGAGTCTTGGAACTGGAGAGCCAACTGCAGAAGGAACGCCAGCGCCTGGGTGAGCTCCGTAAGAAGCACTATGAGCTGGGAGGCGTAGCTGAGGGTTGGGATGAGAATGGTAAGTAAGATCTGATAGTTGTCTCTCTGACTGGGTGATTCACAAGCTCACGTATTGAATTTTGGGCTCCAGAAACAAGGGTTCATTTATTGCTTCAACCACAAGTTTTCTTCTTCAATGCTTTAGCTGTTCTTGCAATTCTTATTTCCTCTGCTATTGTGAAAATTAAGAGAAAAATAAACATTTTCCCCTTTACTCTTTGAACAAGAACACTTTGAGATGACACAAGGCAGTGATCCAGAAATAATTTATTCCAATCTGAAACGTCTCCAATTCCAAGATCCTAACAAGGAGTAAGTTAACAGGCATTGGGACTGAGACCTTGAACTTGGCCTATAAAAATGGGATGAACTAAATTCAGGCTCTTATTTATGTAAGCTAAAGCTGGGGATAAATGAAGTAGATTGTGACTTGAATGCTAGGATTCTTTGCCTACATAAACAAAGACAATGATTTCAGGACTACAGTTCTGAATAAGGACTTCCATGGGAAACTGTACAAATCGCGTCTTTCTAACTGCACATTTCAGGTTTGTAATCCTTCCGTAAACATTTCAATCGCCTTAGCCACAAAGAAAGTTGAAACCTATGTGAAGACCTGCCCCCTTTCTGATAGACCTGAAATGATAATTGTTCCTCTTGTTCTTCAGGAGCAGATTAGGATCTCTGTGAAAGCAGACAGAGAAGAAGACCCTTCAGTTGGTGTGACTACTTCTGAATATGAATGATAAACTCATTTGAATATACCACAAAGCCTGTGCTCATCAACAATGCATTCATACTTGGGGCTGGCCCTGCAGGGTCCTCTGTGACTAAGAAGAGAGCAGCAAAGATGTGGGGGAGAAAAATAGTTTCCTAGCCGCAACAGTATCCATAGCATTGCCCTGCCATAGCCATAAAACACAAATCCTGCGTCCATACGTGTGTTGCAGCATTTCTGCAGAGTTGGATTTCCTCTTGCCTCTTCCCAGGTCACTTCCTTATTTTGCACAGCCTCTGATTTGTCAACTTTGGCTCTATACCAGACCAGGGATAGTACTGCTTATTCTCTTTGCTTGCCTTTTCTCAGAGCCAGGATGGTGGCAGGATGTTGGTTAAAAGTCTTGAGTCTATCCATACACGTAAAGGTACCAGTCTCTCTGGGGGCCACTTCGGTCTTTTCAGAAAAGGGGTTGATGTAACCTGGTCTGCCACATCTCAGGAACTGCAACCTTCTCAGTTTCTCATTTTGCTGCCCCATCCTGCCTTGCTCCAACAAAGTGGGACACATGTCCACTGCCTCAGAGTAGTTCACTGTGCTTTGAGCAGCAATAAACAACTGAGAATCCAGAAGTAGGAATTGCTAGTGGGGAAGGGAGACTGAAGGGGGCCCAAGGAACTGACTTTATATTTGACAATTGTTAGGGGCACCCAGTCCACATACCAGCCAGTTGACCTTTTGACCACCTGTACTCCATGAGCAAAGCAGAAGCTGCCTAGAGCCAGATGACCTCAGCACAGTTTGTTAGTTTTTCTTTAACCATCTAAGAAATGACCAGTAGTACCAGGCCGCTGTGCCACCTGGAAGGTGAACTGGATTCTTTGATAGATGATGTGGTTACTCTTCCCCCTGCCTTCTATACCACTGCCTTCCATGACAGCTGTCTCAGGCACCCCTCATGATCACTGTGAGCCTCTAAGGAAAGAAAAAGCAGAAGAAAGAAGAATAAAGATGCTGTTGCCTATAAATTGGATATTTCAATCTTGCTTTTGCTGTATAAGGAAGGGCCTGAGGACTAAGCTCTTCCATCAGCATCAGACAAAATGTTATACCAAAGGAAGTCCTGAGTGAAGAACATCTGTAGTCTGGCATTAGATTAGTAAAAGCTGTCGTAGTGGTTTTCAGATACGGAACATTTTATTTACTCCCATCATACTTGTGTGGACTAGTATCATTGTCAGACGGACAACAGAAAAACAAGTAGCAAAACCTATACTGTCTCCTAAGTGAAGCAAGTCTGCTGAGGGAAAAATCTAACCAAGCCTGTTCCATATCTCAGATGGGGCAATTAGTCTGAAGCCATGTATCTTTCTGGTGTTTTGGGTAGGGCTGCCCTACACCTGATTTCTGCAAGCTAGCTGATGTATGTCAGACATACGGTTGGGGGCCTTCATGATGTGATCCAAGTAGAATAATTTGGCTAACTTGTGTTGCCTAAAATGTCTCCAAAGTGGTGCTTATGTTTAGCAGGTGCTGCCAAGGGATCTGGGGTTTTTGAAAGTTCAACATTAGAAGAAGCCATGAGAAGGCTAATGAGCCTGGTATCAGCTATTTTATGGAGACTAGAGGCCATTTTGGCTTTGCCTTCAGTTAGAGAAGCTCATAAATCTGGTTCCTGAATGAGCTGCCATGGCCTTTGGCATACCTAACTCCTTGCCAACCTCTTAACTCTGTCTCCCAACTCAGATAAGCTTATCTATTGCACACTGCCATTTGGGGAGGGAGCAAAAGACCTAGGGCTTCTTCTCTTCTTTCTCAAAGGGTCTGTCCACCTATCTTCTCTTCTCCCCCCCAAGTTCTTTTCCTAAAAGCACTGCATAGGCCGACCAGCCTATCAAATACTGGTGCCTGTTATGCCCCAGGTCGCCTTGCCATATGGCTGGCAGCCCAAATACCAAATAGCACTTCTCCCACCGCCAGCTTGAATGAGGCCAATCAGCTGCCTGTCTGCCTCACTCCAAAACATCAGGTACTATCCTGTTGCCACAGCACATGAGGCATTTCCTATGGCGCTGAAATGCCCTTGCTCAGCCTTTCCAGGGACATCCCTTCAATGTCTGGTGCCCTCCCCAACTACCTCAGGTTTTCAGGCTGACTGGCCATGCATGTGGAGGACAAAAAGGAAGAAAACTAAGAAGGATTTAATGTGAGACTTGGATAAGAACAATTTTGTTGTGCTAGAAAAATTATTTCCTCAGTGCTTGCTCTTCTTTTCTTTTCTTTTTACTTTTCCTAAAGGTGGTAATGAACAAACTTCCATTAGAACAGTTTTCCTTAAAATGACAAAAATGCTACCTAGGGCCCAATCTCCAACAACTGACCCAGGCAGCCAGCTCTTTTCTTTCCAAGAAAACTTTTAATTATTGTATTAAATACATTTTTCTTTGTATAATATGTTACATGTGTGTGTTCAATTTTTAAATAAATATTTCAACCCACTTGTATTGGGTTTTGACTTATGGAAGTTTTAAGAATTGTAGTTCTGCCTTTAGTATACTTTTTACCTAGATATGAATCCTGCAAAATGCCAAAAGCAGCATCCAAATTTAAATTGGCTGAACAGGATATTATATAGATCAGAAAGGCACAAGTTGAGGGTCACACATTGCCCTGTAAAATCTTAGCCATAGATTTTTCAGTTTATTATCCAATTGCATTTTTAATGTAATAGGTGGGATAAATGACTAAATATATTTCAGACCTATATTTGTTATTACATGTATATCATCAAATATTTTTGTTCTGACCTACCAATTTTCAGGGTTGACCTTCAATACATTGCTCAAAAACTCCAGCCTATAAAAGTTACATTTGTCTCAGAAAGTGACAGTTTCTCATTACAGATTGCAGTTCCCATGCATAAAGATCTATACTAACTTTGTACAATTGGTGTCAGAATTATGTAAATTCATAGCAGCTGATTTTGTTCTATGTTATAACATGATGGAAAGCTAGCGCCCATTATAATCCCCTGGATAACTTATCCCTGACTGAATGTGAAAAGTGGGGTGCAAAAGCATTGCCTGACTACCAGAATAGAAATAGCTTGTATTGCTTTAAAATATTGCTTCTAGTTGTGTGTGGTTTAGATGGGTAACTGAACCTTGCTTTTGGGCTAAGATGAAAAAAAGTTTTTCTGTCTTCACAGGAGAAAAACTGGGGCATACCCAATTCTCAGGAATGAGCCGTATGAAATGAGAGAAGTGGTAGGCTTTATTGACAAACTGATCTTCAACAAAGCCGTCCAGAGTAGCCCTACAGTGAGATGAGTGGCAAATAAACTTAACAAAAACAAAAATATAAAGCACCAGGTCCAGTGGCATCCACCCAAGGGTTATTCAGGAGCTTAAGCTGAGATTGTGGACTTTCTAATTAAAATATGCATCCTGTCTCTACACTCGGCCTCTGTAGTTGAAGACTGGAAGGTGGTCAGCATTGCACCAACTTTTAAGAGCTCAAGGAAAACCCAGAAAATTATAGGCCTATCAGCTTAATGTCCATCCCAGGGAAGACTGCTATTAAAGATAAAATTGTCAAACATTTGGACACAGGCTTTGCTCAAGAATACCTGACATGGATGGCTTCATTAAAGGGAAGCTTCTGCCTAACTGCAATATTATAATTTTTTGAGGGTGTTAATAAACTTGTGGGTAGGAGTTTGACTTCCCAATAAATTTAATAACCATGCAATAAGAAAACAGCTTCTCTTGTGAATAAGCAACTGCCTAAACAACAGAAAACGAATAGGAATAAAAGGACATTTAAATAGAGGATGTAAGTAATGGGGTTTCCCCAGAGTTCTGTCCCAGGACTTGCTTTTTAACCTGTATAAATGATCTGGAATCAGGCATGACTAGTGGAATAGCCAAGTTTGCTTATGACACTAAAACGTACACAGTGGTAAAAATAAAAGACTGCAACCAGCTCAGTGGTAGGATTCAATTTTTTTTACTACCAATTCTGTGGATGTGGCTTGGTGGGCGTGGCAAGGGAAGGATACTGTAAAATCTCCAGTCAGAGGAGGTATTTGCCAGTTCTCTGAACTACTCAAATTTTCTGCTACCAGTTCTCCAGAACTGGTCAGAACCTGCTGAATACCACCTCTGAAGCAGCTCCAAGGGATCTCTGCATATTGGACATCAAAATGGCAATTGTCATTCAACGCTGCAATTGTACAATGATGCATACGGGTGCCAAAAATACTAATTATTCATAAAACTAATGGGAGCAGTGATAGATGAGGAAAGTAATGGTAAACAGTTCAGTGAAAGTAATAACAGTGTGCATCTGCTGTAAAAAAAAAGCCAAGAGCATGTTAAATAATAAAAGGTATCACAATGCCCATATAGAAACCAATGGTAAGAAATCATTTGGAATACTGTGTGCAATCCAGGTTGCCAGGCATAAAAAAAGGGCATAGAGGAGCTTAAGACGGTTCAGAGAAGGGCAACAAATCGGGCTGGATCCAGGAGGGCACTGCTTATCATATTTTATTTCCTGCTATCCTTTCTGAAACAACAACTACTAGTTGTCAAGTCTAAATGGAACTCAGTCCTAAGACAGCCAGGTCCTTGCCCAACTGACAAATGTCCATTTATTTGCCACAATTCAGTTATATCCTGGAGAAATTCAGCTATCTAAGCTTTTTATTTTAATACAAATAAAAATGGTTGTTTCTATTTAAGAGCAGGGATATAATTTGTCTCTGTATCTCAATTCCCAGCCCTTAAGAATGTCAATGGAAAAAGAAAACAATTCCTTCAACTTAACTATGCTTTTTCAATTAAAAAACCCTGAAATTCCCAGTGCAAAACAAAATTTTCTGAGATCTTTGTATCCTTCAAATTTTAATCTTGGTTTCCTTACAGTGTTGCGATATACCATGGCTTGCACAATTCTGATTTCTGTAGGTATAAACACATCATGGCATTTGAATATCTCTTCCAAGGATTTTGCTTTCCCAAGGACTGTGGCGTATTTCTTACCTACTTGCTCCTTTGCCATTGATGGTTGATCCTAAAATGCAGTAGCTATCCACCACTTCAATCTTCATTGTTAGTCTAAGGCAGACTGTCCTACCTGTAGTCATTAGTTTTTACATTTTAGTTCCTCCCCCCCCCCCCCTTTGTTCCATGACTTAGGGCTTGCAGATCCTTTACATTTTCAGCTTTCAGGGGTTTCTTCCATCAACCATGCTTATCTTCCAACCCAGCTTCCTTTAATATATATTTTGAATATAAGTTGAATATAAGAGGAGACTATACAGCCTTTGCCAAAGTGAAATCAGTCTGTTTCCCTATGTTCTGTCCATATGGGGCTTCCTAACATATCTGTTTCTCATGAGGACAATGAAATATTCTGGGATTCCCAATTTTCTGAGCACTTCTCAGTTTTAATATGATACATTATTGATACATTATTCTTGGGCTTTCTCAGTTATCAAGCATGCATCAACAGCAATGTCTCGTGTTCCTTGGTCTTTTCTCACACCAGTTTTGAACATTTTGCATGCTGTAACTTTATACATCTTTGAGCATTCTTGAATTGCTGTCAAAGTGCCTTTCAATAACTTTTTAAAAACGCCAACTCTACCAATAGATATTAAAAGTGCCAGAGCCTTTGCCCTGGGCAATACAGTATAACAAGCTGCTTTTTATGTTAAGACAAAGTGCCATCAGCAGGTATAATACAAGATTATCACTCCAGTATTCCCCATCGGAAATAAGTGAGAGATAGAAGAGATAAACAGCAGTCCTTACACTGTTGATGCGACCTAGTTAGGGTAATGAAACGTCTGGAAAGAAAACAAGCAAACTCAGAGAGCACCAAGGATCCCCACAAAAGATATTCTGCTCGTGCAGTCCCCTTTAATTCCCATCTAACATGAGTTGTTCCTTCCCTTCAGGAGGCAACTGGACTTTCTTGTGTTTTTTTAAAAAGACGTTTCGCTTCTCATCCAAGAAGCTTCTTCAGCTCTGACAGGATAGTGGGGAATGGAAGGATTTATATTCCTTGCAGACAGCAAGGAGCACTTAGGGGTGACCCTGAGGACACAGATATACCTCCAAGTGCTTAAACGACCCTCTAAAAGGATGCAAATGGCCAGCTGTCTGCAAGGAATATAAATGCTTCCATTCCCCACTATCTTGTCAGAGCTGAAGAAGCTTCTTGGATGAGAAGCGAGACGTCTTTAAAAGATAAAAACAAGAAAGTCCAGTTGCCTCCTGAAAAAGCACCTTTGGGACACCCATGACCTGGATGACTGAGTATCTCTATAGAATTCCCTTCAGAACGAAATGGACAGACAGAGAAGCCGCACTGAGGCCGCCTTTTGGTCAGTTAGCTAGTTCAGACACCAGTTAGTGAACGCCCCCTCCTCTCCCCGCCCTCCCTCAAGGTCTCTCTCGCTCTCCGCGCCTCTCGCAACCGCCTCCCCCCCCCCCCACCGCGCTACGAGACACCCCGCTTCCATGAGCCACGCCTCCTTTCTCTTCGCGCTAATTCCTTCAACCTTCAAAGGCCACGCCCACCCCAGCTCGCCTGCCCGGCTGCCCATCGCTCGCTCTTCTTTGGCGCGCGGTGCATGCCGGGCAAGGGAAGGGGAACTGTGAGAGGAAAGGAGGGGAGACAGCCGTCGCGGCCTCGATGTCTCGAGGCGGCTCGGCGCCCGGCTGGGGCTGGTGGCCTCCGTCGCGGCGGCGGGGGCGGCAACAGCAACGGGCCAGGAGAAGGGCGGCCGCCGGTTTCGGCTTTCTGGAAGGAGCCTGGGCCTTTCCCGTGGCAGTGCTGGCGGTGGCGGGACTGGCGGCGGCGTCGCTCTCTTTGCTGGTGCTCGTGTTGGGCCTCTCTGGAGCGGCGCTCTCCCTGATCGTGGCAGCGGCGGCTGCGGGATCCTGGATAGTATCCTCGGGATTAGGCGGCGGCAGCAAGGACCGGAGGGGGACCCCCTTGCTGACCCACCGCATCTCCTTTGCGTCCAAGAGTAACGATACGGTGCTGGCCAACGGGGGCCCCTCCATGAGCTACTCCTCGCCTGGACTGCTCGTGCCTGAAAGGAGGCGGGGGCAGCTTTGCGGGTGAGGGAATTCATTGTACTGGAGCCCCTCGGCCTTTCCTCTCTCTCTCTCTGTCTGTCTGATGGGATTTGCATTGCAGTCTGTACATGCTCGCCTGCCTGTGCTGCCGGAATGGAGGTGGCGCTTGGAACAAGCGTTGCCCGGGCTCTTTGGGCCCTCCAGTTGTGAAAGGGAAGAAGAGCATAAATTTGACGGGACAGATGCTTCTCCTTCCTTGGGTACCCGGCAATATTCCAGTGACATGCTTCAAACTTGGTTAGGGAACCACTGGAGAAAAATCAGGCTTCTCTCAATCTACTTATATATAATGGGGGGAAATGTAGCCTTATTCATTCAAACTACATGCACATATTTGCACAGTGT